TCCTTTATTCTAATCCAAAGCCTAATCCTTAGTACTTTTTCATAAAATAAGCATTAATACAAGAACTTACGGTTATAGAATTCATAAGTCTATCCCTAGATCATACAAATTCCAGCAATCAACCAATCAGAATCGATACACCAACATCCCTATTGTCATGCACGACTCTAATGCTCATTCAAGACTGGTCAGCTCATAAATAAGACTAGGAGTAAATTGCAGATTGATTGCATAATTTAATCAAGAATATAAATCATAATCAAATCAAACAGCGTTCAAGAACCCATTGGTTCCGTCTCGCCCTAACTACTAACAAGAATTTAGCTATGCATAATTATAAAAACAGAATTAAAAGATCTAAAGTTCATGATGAAACTTGTTTAATAGTGATGATCAATGATGCCAAATTGATTCCTCCCTTCTCCTCTGCAACGCTCCAGTGTTCCTCTTCTGCTCCTGCCTTCGTGTTTGTCTATGAGTTCTTCCTTCGCGCTCTTGAATTTTTAAAGCCTTCGTCACGTTTGTATTTAAATAATTAAAATGGGCTTTAATTTCTGGACCGGCTCGCTGAGGAGTTCGCTGAAGCGAGCTACTCAGCGAGAAATTTTCTTCTCCTTGCTCACTTGCTCGCTGAAGCGAGAAGTGGAGCGAGCCTAATTGTGCTGCTCGCTGAAGCGAGAAGTATAGCGAGCGTGATCAAATAATTTATTTTTATTTATTTCTGCTTGATATTTCTCCGATTCTTCAGATTGCAACCGGTCTCTCATCGTTATCAGGTTAGTATTTTGTTATTCTAGTATAAAACAACCTGAAACAACAACAAAGATTAGGATCTTATCTATTTGTTGGTAATTTACTATCTTTTAATATTTTATTTAAATAATACTATATTATTAATTATTTCAATTATTATTTGAACCATATTTAATATTAAAAGCATAGTATGTTTCACACTTATCAGTGACCCTTCACTTTCAGAAGCTCAAGTGGCTAAAGATTACGTATCCTTCATTGCAAGTGGATCTCGTTCTCTTCTCAGTAGACGACTAGACGTAGTCCACCACAAATTCAAAAGTTCTCACCCTCTCATGACTAACCCCACTTGTCACTCTCTGCCGTGAATATTTGATGTCCTTCAAGAAACATTTTCCCGGCCCACTTGGCCCAAAATATGTACAATGCATACACTATTTTTATTTATCTATACAATTGGACGAATTATGCATGCTAAAGTTAAGAATGGGATTGTGATTGCGATTTTACCAATTCGTTTCACAGTTCAAACTATATTTAATTAATGATTTTGCTCATCTTAATTTTTATTGATGCTGAATATATTTGATAAGATACATTTAAATGAGCAAATTTAGTACAGCTATCGGCTATACAAGTTTCATTGGAAAGCGAAATTAAGTGGTCCAATCCATGCACTACACATATATGATATATATGACATGACTATAGCAAATATGCATCGGAAAATTCATCATGTAACTTTACCTATGGCTCTCCCTTATGCTTGGTCCTCACTTCAGGGAATACGTTCCAGTCCATTAGCTTAGTTAGTAATTTCATTGTCGGAATCCGAACACTAATATCGGATAAGATAAAGCGTAGATAAACATATTATTTTTACAAATAGCTATCTTATATTTAGTTACAGTTATGCAGTCATTTTCCACATTATTTTTCAGGAAGAACCCTTTGATGTCACCATTGATTTTCTTTTTCATTATATAAATAAGTATTCAAGACGGGCAATTTACTGCTAATTCTTGGTTCCAATATAATTTCTAGCACAAAACTGAAACAAGAGAGAGTAAAGGTACGAGTATTAGTTTTGTTGCAGCAATGACAATGCCATTGTTTAAACCAAAAAAGAATATCATCATCAAGAAATGCAAACTCTTCATGGAATTAAGCTAAGCCAAACATTTTGAAGATTTTTTTTTTTTTGGACTAGATAATTGTTAAAGGATGATGTCGTTTTCAATGCTAGGAAAATTTTTAATATGGTTCAGGATCATCATGATTCTTCCACTAAAAACTTGACAACTGAACCAAATTTTTTTTCTTCTTTCTCCTCTCTTCTCAATCTTTTCTCTCTTTCTCTTCCCTCAGTCCCACCAAACTTTTGTTGATCCCGGAGCACACTAACTTTGCTCGCAGTAGAGGGACAAAGTAGGGTAAAAAGCGAAGACACTTTTAAGGAAAAAAAATATGTGTTATTTTAAAGGATATAAAATTATGTTATTTTAAGTGAGAAAAAGATGTAAATCGTGGAGAAACGAGAGTGGACAAAAAAATAAAGACATGAGTCTCATTTCTTTGTCGGAGTAAAATGACATAAGTTATGTTATTTAAAAGGATAAATATTTTTCACCACTTTTAATGATTCACCGCATAAAATAAAGTGGATAACATCTCTTACATTGTATGAGACAAATTATCTAAGAGATAAAGAATAAAAATAGATCTTATCTTATTTTCAAAAATAAAATGAATTTTATTGATTTTTTATGTATTGTATGAGATAATTTTTTTTATTTTTTTAAAAAAATTTATTCATATTATATAAGGTATTTTTTTTTTATACATCAGTTATCAATTTTTTTTTTTAGATGATTGACTGGTATCATGTTTAGATAAGCTTTTATCTTAACATGATAAACACACAAAAAGTGCGGCTCTACCTTGAGAATCTGACATTGGATTTTGAAATGTGGAGTAAGACAAAACCGCAATGATTCCTCTTCAAAATATGCGCAACTTGTGATGAGTACTGAGTACTGTTCTGTCCATCTTCAATGGATACTGTTTATTAGTCCGGCATACGTAGAACGCACATGCATTTTAAACATGCATTTTAATGATTGTTAAATAAGAAATGAACTTGATTTTGATTATTTTTCATATTTTTAATAAATTATATGATACTATTTATGCAGAAGATTATTGAATTTTATATTATATTATAATTAAAAATAATTGATGAAAAATCTTTTCTGTTCACCATAAAAATATTTATTTACAAAAAAATTGTGTGTTTTAAATATTTGATAGTGCCACGACAGTGTCCCCTCCTGGAATTGGGCTCAGGGAATCCTTTCTCCATTTAGGGGTTCCCTTCTGTGAATAAAAAAGAGTCATAATTGGGCTCAGTGCTTGGGGTACTTGATTCAACTTTCTGCTGTAGCATCTTGTACCACCAATTCACAAGGATCATGCTCTTTGCAAATAGTTACATCCATGTTCATGATGGAATCCAAATATGTTCCAAAATATTTGCAACATCCTTAATTTTGAGTAATGGCACTTGAACGCTCCTACCACTTGTTCAACACTATACAAATCATGCCATTCCAAGCTGTATAGCTCGGGTTTCATGATGGGATACAAATATATTGAAAAATATTTGCAACATCCTTACTTTAGAGTTTTTGTTAGAGAATAAAATGTAAAGTATTAAAAAGATCATCGTCTATCATTTTAAGGTTTTAGGTTGAAATAGGTTTTTAACATGATATTTGTAAAGTATTAAAAAGACCATTACTTATTACTTTAAGGGGCGTTTGGTAGAGGAGAAATTTTCTTTTATCCAGGAATCTCGATTTTCAGAAATATAATTTTTATCTTCAGTTTACGATAATATTCGAAAATTAAAAATTTAAAAAAATTTAATTTTCCAGAAATCCTGAAAAATACCGCGTACCAAACATTTCCTTAAAATTTTGGATTGAAGTGAAACTTAACAGTTTTAACAATTGCTCCAACCACTAATCCAACACTCTCTAAATTCTGCCACGCCAAGGTTCCCAAGTTCCCCCCTATTGTGGATATTTTAAAAAATATATATGTAATTGAACGAAAATGTGTAGAACACAAGTTAGGTACATAGAAATGGTAACTTGCTTAAAAAAAATGACTGTTTTAATACTTCAGTTTTTCTTTAACACATGAAAATAATGACACTCACATATAATAATAAAAGCACATAGAAAGACATACCTTATTATTATTGTTATTCCATGAAAGATTATCCTCTTAAAAGGAATTAAGTTTTAACCGATTGAATTATTTTTTATTGCACAACTGATTTAAGGAAAGATTTCCAGCTAAGGTTACTGGTTCCTATATATACATATATATGGTCAGAATCATTTTACACCAGTGTAAGTTATACTCTTAATCTTGTCCGTTTATTCTATTTATATCTAAGGGCTCTAATTTTTTAGTAATGTGAGCCATTAGATACAAGTAGATCAATGATTAAGATTGAGTGTAAGACTTCTAACTCTTACATCGGTATAAGAATATCCTGCGCCAAATATATATATATATATATATATATATATATATATATATATATATATGGGATATGATCCATTTACAATTTTTTTTTGTAAATTACACTAAGTACGACCGATCGTACACTGCATGATTAAAATATGACTGTCGTACTTAGTGTAATTTGTAAGAGTTTGTAAACAAAAAAGTTTGTAAATATAACCGGCATATATATATATATATATATGAGATAGGATCCTTTGACACCAGTGTCAAATTTCAAATTTGACACCTCATTTGAGAGCTGTTAGATCAAAAAAGATCAATGGTATTACATGCTTACAAATCAAAGTCATTGATCTTTTTTGATCTAACGACTCTTCAGATGAGGTGTCAAATTTGAAATTTGACAATGGTGTCAAAAGATCCTACCTCTATATATATATATATATATATATATATATATATGCTTGTTACGACATACAACATACAAGGCGTAACGGAATCATAACATAACAGGCTTTCTAAGAGCAAACTGACGTATTAACCAAGCTTTTCCATATACTCAACCAAGCACAAAAATAAGGGAGAAACCAAAAGAAAGATCCTGGTATGGAGAAAAAGAATATAAAAAGTACATGGCTACAAGTAAACATTGACAAAACGAACTAATAATATCAACATAATGAGCAGATGAAAACTCAACCTTCTCCTCAACTGTTATAATCAGGTGCAAATTGATCTTCCATGGAGTGAAAATGGTTACTTTCTCCCTCAAGAAGGCGCACAACCTGAAGTAACAAGCTATTAATAGTAAATTGCACTAGATATATAGAAAGAAATTGAATATATAAAAGACAAAAATAATGTCAACAATGCTAAAGTTCTAATGATGTTGCAAATAAAAGAAAATATATAACCTTGAGCAAAAGGAAAGGCCAAAGTAAAACTCCAATTAATTACCTCTCCCATTGATGGACGCATCTCAGGCTTTCTTTGCACACAGAAATATGCTGCTTTAGCCATGAGGTATAGTTCATATGTGTCATATGATTCCCCTAGACGACTGTCAATTAGTTCATGTAAAGCCAACTTCTCAATCATTGGTTCAGCCTAAATGTTTCCACATGTAATATTTATCAAGGCCAGTTAAACTGAATCTAGTAACATTCCTTTCCATGAGTATAAAAACTATGAACATTGAAGAGTTTTATAAATATTTAAAGACATAAACAATTGAAGATACCCATTGTCGGAGAGATTGTTGTTGTTCTGGATTATTGGAATTGCCAACCTTGCGTCCTGATATCAATTGTAACAGAATAACACCATAAGAATACACATCTGTCCGCACAGAAACAATACCGTCTTCAGCATATTCAGGAGCAAGGTATCTGCATAAACAGAAACAAAGCTCATTTATTTTAGCTATTTTTTTAAGTTTGGAGTTCCGAAGCATATAATTTGGCCAGTTAGTAACAAAAGACTTGAACATATCCTCACCCTAATGTGCCCATTATATTCCTTGTTTGCAGAGTATCATCACCATTCTTCCATTTGGCAAGACCAAAGTCACCTAGCTGCATTTATAACACATCACTTAATTGAAAGCACACATCACCTAGCTGCAGTCTCGTCAATAACCAAAGGAGAATGAAGCATCTTATGCTACTTAATTTACCATGGGAACAAAATCATGAGTGAGGAGTATATTGCTTGGTCTCATGTCCCGATGAATAATAGGACCACCACGGCATTCCTCATGTAGAAAACGCAATCCCTTTGCAGTTCCAATGGCAATAGCATACCTTTGTTGCCACTCAAGAACTTCTGCATTATTTTCTACAAAAAAAATGTTTCCCCATATTCATAAAATATAAACCTTAGTGGATATATCTGAGACTTATAATATCATAAGATAAAACAACACAGTAAACTACAGGCACTTACCAAATAAATGCCAATAAAGAGACTTATTGCAAATATATTCATATATCAGAATATTTTTCTTTTCTTTGCAACAGTAACCCAACAGCATCACTATATTCCTGTGTCGAGCAAAACTTAAGACATACACCTCAGAATGAAATTCAGAAAATCCTTGTGTGCTTTCTTCTTTCCTTACTTTTGCTGCTATTTGCTGTCCATCTTTAAGCACGCCCTTGTATACATGACCATATCCACCTTCACCTAATAAGCTTTCCTTTGAAAAATCATTTGTTGCAAGCTGTATGTCAGAATAGCTGAACCTCATTGATTCCTTGATAGTCAACTCAGTCCTTGCCCCACAGCCAGCACAAAGAATTGGTGCATCTGAAGATTTTGGTAGAAAGCCAACTTGGAATTTCATATGACCAATCTGAGAAGTAATGGAATGACTATAATCTCCTTTGATGCTTATGCCTGAATGACAGTTAAAACTCTCATTTATTACAAAGAACCAATTTGGATACAAAACAGGACTTATACGACAGAATGAATACAACTTATGTATAAAAAAAACAGGTTAAAAAACATTAAACAGACTTTCTGACCTGATCTTTCTTGCTTAGAAGAAGATCCAAAATCTAATGAAGAGCTGTGCTCCCTTGACCTGTTAGTATACTTCATATAGCTCTTAATAGTACCCGAGCTATCAGAGGAAGTTATGGAATGGGGATAACTTTTGGCAGAGATAACAGATTGATCAATGTCTTCAATACTACGACAATCTGATAGCGAGACAAACTTGGATAAAGAATACACAAACTTTGTTTCTGTGACATTTGTGTTTTGTATATAATGAGATCTCCAGATATCCACAGACAAGTCATCTTTAACCAATGCCACCTTGCATGGCAACTTGTTGTAGAATCTCAGGTCACGCCTTAGGTGTCTGTATCCAAATTTTCCCAATACAGTTTAAAGCCATTAGGAGAAAATAAAAAGGAAACTAAGAAAAAGTGAAGTCATACTCATTAAAAGACTTATGAAAACCATCTGTCAAATGTAAGAGATAATGGTCATTTACAAGTTGTAGAGATGGTAATACCTATCAAGTACAATCCAAGATGCATTGTAGTTTTTAACCTCTTGTGAAATAACCTGTCTAATTGGAAAACCCGCGGTGACTTTAACTTCGATGCTAACCTGGAGATACAAGTTTAATTATTAATTAGCATGATGAAGAAAATAATAACACTTGAAAACAGTTGCTCTAAAAGTGATGCTATTTACAACGGCGGAATTATATGTTTTTTCATCTGCATAACTAAGCATGTACATATTTACAAAGCTCTTATAGAACTTAATATATACCCCTTCATTTTCAAAATCTTCATAACTTGATAAAAGCTCACTTGCATATACATTAACTTTCTTTCTGACTTCTTCCTCCATTGCACGAAAGTTCGTGCCAGCAAAAGACTCGGGGCATGCTAATGTCTGGTACCCCACTGTTAATCCAAAGGAAGGAGCAAAAGAGTTATGCAATGAGTAGGCAGCATATTGAACGAAAAATTCATCTATCTTAGTAATTAACTTTCCTTCTATACACACGCTCATGCAGATCAACCATTGAATAAGAAAAACAATAATATATTCAACGCATTGCTAGCTCTTCAATTGAAATCTCTTGCTCAAACTTATTATAAATCAAGGTGATACTTGAGCCTTGAGTGTCACAAAAAAAGTGGGGGAAATTTTTAACAGCCGCAATAACACTCCTATTATCATTTCAACCAATTATCAACTAATCACTCCTCGTTAAACCCGGACTAGCAAGGAAGGGTGGAAGAGGGTATTCCTATTAAATTCGGATTAGCGAGGGTAGAGAGGACAATCCTTATACACTGTCTTACCTCTGTATACATGCAAAAAGACTATTTTGTGGATTCAAACATATAGTCACAAAGAATCAGTTTTATCACTTCTGTATGCTCGCCCTCTAAACTCCTGTTATCATTTCAGATGAGAAATAAAATGGCTCAAAGAATTTAACAGTTTAGGCAATAACAACTCGTATTAATTTGACCCATCTGTATGTATAAAAACACTTACTGGGGTGAGGCACCTTATGCAAAACGCAGAGCACAAGCAACCTTTCACCAGCAGAGAGAATGACACCCCTGGCCCGAACATGATCGACGACGAGCTTGATGTCGTGCTCATTGCCGTCCTTGGTGGCATCACACGCAACGACGACGTATGAAAGAGGAGGAGGATGATCCTCCATGATGATTATGATGAAGGTTAATGTTAAAGGATGAACGTGGACGCGAAATGGGGTGATGCAGAAAAGTACATAACATGGTAATTGGCATTGAGGTGTGAGAATGATCGTCCAATGATTCAACGACAGAAGCTTTCTCGTCCAAAACAACAACACTATTCATCTCTCTCTCTCTCTCTCTCTCACACACACACACACACGCACACAGTGAAGGTTTCGACAATAACGAGAATAATATGCTTGAGGATATTCGTGGGAGACAAAAAATGGCGGGAAGAATGCCGATTAGAACAGTGCCAACATGGGAAAACTACGAGGAACTTGAAGACAGTTTTGGTTACTGCTTGCTTGGAAATGCTTTCCAAGTTGTTATATTCTATTCTTTTTCACCGTTAAACAAATCAATTTGTCATTTTTTCAGTTAATGCAAAATATTGCTCAAATGGATCAGACTAATTGTTTTTATTTGTTGAAAACTTGTTTATGTTTGTTGTTTTTCTGAGCTAACGCCAAGTAGGGGAAGGGATGTCTTTGATAACCTAATGTAATAATTTGCATTATAATATTTATATGCAATACAAACTATAGAGCAATATTTTTATGCATCTTCGAAGGGCGGCTTAATTGAGCAATGAAGTGGGTACTTGTTGAACTATTGTGATGTCCAAATCCTAATGAGATTATTAGGATGTAATTTACGAGAGAGATTACATAATGTAGCCAATGTTTTTGATGGAACCAAGATCATTAACCTGTGCGTGTGTAACCCAAGTTTATTAAATGGTATTGGTCCCGTAACATTGTGTCCATTTTTTACTGATTTTTGAACTTATCTCTGTTTCAAGTGTTTGTTCTTACATATGTTATATTGAAATGTTACTTTCAGGTTAAATTACTGTGGAATAAGTCTCAACACATAATCTAATGGTGAATAACATAGTAATCATCACAATAAAAGATGCAATAAGAACATCCAATCCCTATCTTTATTTAACATTCTGACAGTCAGGTTTAGTACAATTCCTTATTTGAATTGGCATATCTACAAAGGAACATCGGAAGGGTAGTCTTTGGGATGCTTAGTGATGGTTTTTCTAAGTACTCTATCTTGTTCTTGAAGGTTTGATGGCTGTTGGTCATAGACATCATTAAACAAGTCCTCAAGTGGAGGTTTTTGTGCTTTCTCTGCCTCCTGAATTGCTTGCAATAACTGCAGGAAAGAAAAATAAATCAGAAAAAACAAGAAAATGTCAAAACAGTTTGGTGTATACAAAGATAGACTTAATTGCAATAAGCAAAATTAAATTCACCTGCTTCCTGACACTGCTTCTAAGCTCCAATTCATCCTTTTCACTCCACCAACCATTCCTTTCTACCCATATTTTGAATCTATTCACAGGATTTCTTTCCATTTTCCAATATTCAATCTCATCAATTGGCCGGTACTTGGTTGAATCATCAGATGTAGAATGGTGTCCTACTCTATAAGTGAGAGCCTGAAGGTTATTTTTAGCATAAGATTGGTGAAACACTGAAATAGGGTGGTATCAAATAATGATCATATCTTAGCATGAAGGGAGCTAAATCATACCTCAATTAGAACTGGTCTTTTATCTCTTATAGCGATTTCGCGAGCAGTATGAACTGCACTATACACAGCAAGAGCATCATTTCCATCTACTCTGATACTCCAGATGCCATAAGCTTTACCTTTGACTACAATACCATCACCTAACCAACAGGAAAAAAATAAGTTTTCAGGAGTTCTAGTATCTGAACTTAATAGATTTGATCAAATAAAGTGTAAAGCTCATTGACATGTCAAATAGGGTATGGAGTAAGAGGGACTAAGTCTTTGTACCAAAAAAAAAGAAAAGAGAGGGACTAAGTCTATATATTATATCTTAGGTGAAGGCATATGAGTAGTTTTTGTATACTATATCTCTAACCATGCTATAAACTTGGCTAATTGTTTATATTCTATCTCTTGCACTGAAAGAGTGTGACAAAAAGAAGAATAACTAATTTGAAATGAAATGAAAAGAGTACTTCGAAACTGTTCTTCTACAGGGGTACTGATTGCCCATCCATTGTTGCGACATATAAAAATAACAGGGGCCTCCAATACTGCTGCAAAATTCAAACCAGCATGGAAATCTCCCTGCAATATTTGATGAGCTCAGATAGTAGCAATAAGGCATAGTGATGTTCAATACTATTACTTGTTAAGAGATCTCATTCATCATCACAAACCTCACTTGTGCCACCATCACCGCAATAAGTGACTGCACATGCACTTTTCCCATCCACTTTAAGGGAATAAGCAGCGCCCACAGCTTGAGGGAGTTGTGTTCTGAATTTCTTGCCAAGCAACATTAACTTTTTTCAGAGTGCATGTCACCAATTAACAATTGAATTGCAATGATTTTAACATGTTATAGTATGGTATATGTCTTACCCAATGGGGGATGACACTGTGAAGTAATTGTGCTTGTTAGACCCGTAGTGTATTGGCATCTGCCTGCCTTTACCAATATCACTTGTGTTTCCAAAACACTGGTGAGCAAATTGTTGCAGTGTAAAACCACGCCACAATAGAACTCCTGGCTCTCGGTACTATGACAGTGACATCATATTAGAAATTTTCATCATTAACAAATATACATGTGTTCAAAAAACTAGTACTATCAGCTGGGGATGGAGTTTTTCAATTTGTTCACTTATTAAAAGGGCAAACCCCTGGAGCACAAGGTTGCCCAACTTGCGAGGATAGAGGTGAAAATCGATTATATGCAATCTTATCCTTACATTTTTACAAAGAGACGGTTTCAAGACTTGAACCCGTAAACTTCCTGTCCCAAAGAGCAACCTTACTCGCGCTCAATTTGACACTTATTAGTTGAGAAGAAAAAAAGTTAGGTTACTTGAAACAGGAATATTTTGGAGTTTTAATTGTCTTGTTTTTCTTTTAGAGATCCACAATAGCAGAAAGTGTGACACAACAAAAGAAAATGGAGTTGAATTTCACTAGGAGCATAAGGGAATTGCAGTGCCTGTATAATGAACAAGCAGGACCAAGAGATGCAAGTGAGAATACTAAGAAGCAGAAAGTACAAGATGGTAGGAAATTAAACCTGAGGCAATACAATATCATCAGAAGCAAGTGCAGCTGCGGATGCAATGTTAACTGCTTCTTCTCCCATTGAGGTGAGGTAGAAGGAAATTCTTCCTTGCCTCTGCACTTCATAGAATATGTTGTCCATAGTTTGAAGAGTGACCATGTCAGAATATATCTTCACAGCCATTTCCTTGCTAACCTGTTGAATTATGGTCCAGAGATTATTCAACAATCAGTACTTATATAATAACTATCAAGCTAATAACATTCCCATGTGTTGTATCACAAACACTAAGACTCAATTCAATTTTTGGTTTTCTCAAAGTAATTAACTGAGATACCTGTACATAATTGCTGTATTTCAGGGGCTCTCCATTGTCATCAAGAACTCGATAACAAGGTACCCTTTTCTCACCAGAATCACCAATGAATTTCATTTCAGAAGTGAATGCAACTTTTCCACCAGGAAAATCAATTACCTGACACAGTGAGTAGCAGAATTAAATAATGTCACGGCATAATCAGTCTTTCTTAATTTATGGAAAAACTGCACGTATATATCCATTTTTATATTTTAGTGGAGTAACATTATTATGTATTTTTAAATTATGAGTGAATACATGTTTAGTTGCTCATTTTAGGTGAATTTCATCTTTAGTTTATTTCTGTAAATTACAATGGAAATTATGATATTCACTATGATCTCCATATTACTAACGGTGACAATTCTAACTCATTCGGGAAAAGTCCACTGCGAATTGAGTCAAATAAGAATGAGATTAGATTGGCTAACTATAATTTCAAAAAATTATTATCTCAATCTATTTTTATATATAGGTTATGAATTATAGCCGGTTCGCTTTTTTTTTTCTACCTATTTATATAATTATAAAAACAAAAAACAACTCCCCGTTAAACTCGACTAGCCAGTGTGAGATAGAAGCAATTCTTGTAAGCAGCCTTATCTTTGCATAATTGTGAAGTGACTGTTTCCTGAAAAAGGACTCATGATCTTTCAATCATGAAAGAATATTTTTATCACTATTCCGGTTCGCCCCCTTTAGCTATTTATATAATTATATTTAAAAAAATTAATTTAAAATAATTTTTTTGATTATTTATATTTAAAGATTTGCATTGATTATTATTAAAAAATTAAAATTAATTATGTTTAAAATAGTTAAATATTCATTTTAAAATGACATTTAGATAAACATTAAAAGAATAAACTTAATATTTCAATAGTTTTTTTTTTTTTTTTTTTTGGTGTGGAATATTTCAATAGTTTATTAGCTGTGCGTCCCTTCTCGAGAATTATTAAATTTTCCATCGGCTTCGTAACTGGGCCCGCTGGTCTTCCATAACGTTAAGAAATACCTATAACCAGGATTAGAACAAATCTACATTTAAAGCTAGTCAATACTCATCAAGAATAATTCCCAAAGCATTTAGCTGAAGATAATATTATAATGAAAAAATAATGTTTTAAGGCGTAAATAAAATAAAGAAAAATTCAAAATTAAATCGAAAATTTAATGATACAATAAAAAAATTGACTTTATAACTAACGGTTCAGCCAGGTCATCCATTTCCAAAATCCGTTTGACTCAAAAACTGAACCCTGAGACATGTGATGTGGAGAAAAACTTTGGTGAATCGGAGCACTGAACTACAGTTCGGTGCTCTTTTTTACCTTTTTTTTTTTATATTTCTTTTTAAATCCTAAAAAAAAAACATCGAACATCGAGTTCGGTGCTTCCGTGAACCAAAATTTTTCTCTACGAAGTGAGCTTTATTTAACCTATGGATAGGTATTCTAACCATACTATAAACTATTCCACTCTCTAATTGATACAATAATTACCTGATTTGGATCATCCTCGCTGAGATATTGATGTAATTCTAATTGTGCCTCGGCTTTGGTAGATTCAAAACGCGAGAAGAAGGAAAGGGTAGGTGAGTTGTTACCCTGTGATGCATGTTGTATATCACGGGACTTAACAAAACAAGAGGAGGAAGAAGAGGTATGGCTATGGTTAAGAAGTGATCCTAACAAGAAGGGTAGGTTTTTGTGGTGATGAGTTAAGGTCCTGGACCTTCCCAACAACCATGTTGCCATTTCTATGACTGAACATTCACAGGGAAGGGACTAGAAGCAATAATCAAAATGATCAAATATTATGGTGTGGAGGAGGGAAATGGACAAGTCCCACTCCACACGTACTTATCTTGTGTCGTAAGTTCATAGAAAACCTTTTTAACATGTTATCTCTTGTCGTGGAGCCACGTCAGATTCCGACATTATTGTTTGGTACGACGAACGGGGGCTCGATAGTATAAGCTTATACTATATATACATTACGACATTTTCAATTTTCAGTTGTTTGGTGTGACCATCGTATAATATAAGCTTATACAGTAAGATCTTTTTATACATCAAAATGATGTATAATTTAATCAAGTCTAAAAGGGTAGGATTATGCCTGATAAGGGGTTGATGTATTAATATTGCTTAAAAGTATAAATCTCAACAACTAATATATCATTTTAATATTTATATATTAAAAAAAATTATTTTAATATATTAATTTTTAAAATATTTGAGGATATTATCTTATACAATACCATACCAAACGCAAAATAGTATTAAAATTTAATCAGATCTTATAGTATAGCATGTACCAAACAGACGTTATCTTATACTATCCTAAACGAAAGTTAATAACACATTGGTAAAATTTTGTCCAAACTTACATTAAATTATAATTAAGTTTACTTTTTATTAGTGAGAGATTGATTGAGATTTCATTCAATAATTGAGCATTGGTATTAGTATTACTACTCAGGTGGGGATCCGATTTTACCAACCGAGTTATATACCGGTACTATTTTTATATTTTTTTTTCTTGCTTTTTTTTTTTTAATTTCTTGTGACCATTAATATAACGTGATGGGTTTGTAGTCTTTATAATACGACAATGAATTTACGGAGAGAGAGAGAGTTGAGGATGGGCGTTCATCTTATCTTGGTGTCCATGCTTCTTAGGTGCTAAAGTGCTGGCTATCCTTCGACAACACATGCCCAGGACCAGATCAGATCGCTTAAAATACATGAACACGTTTTATTTATGGTTTTATTATTGATGAAAAATGATGACACTACCAACCAGATTTTTTTGTTTTTTTTTTTAAATAAATATCATTTTGTATCCTCAACAAAAAAACATAGAACTCATTTTAATTCTTTTTAGGAAAAAAAGAAGTCGCCAACCAGATTTTTTTTTTTTTTATTAAGTAAATATTTTTTTGGGTCCTCAACAAAAAAAATACAAAACACATTTTAATCCACTAGAAGAAAAAAAGTCGACTTGTGGTGCCAATAAAATTTCAATTCTTTGAAATTGTGGTCTTTCATAAATTCAAAGAAGATCCACGTTAGTTTCTCAAAAAGGATTAATATAGATACTTTTTTTTCAAAGTGATTAAAATGGATTCCAAGTTTTTTGTTGAAGACCCAAAAGAATATTTACTCTCTTTTTTTCTTTGTTGAGAAAGCAAAGAAAAAAAGAAAAAAAAGAAAAAACGCCCACTTTTTTTGGTGGCTAGACTGATATTTTGTTTAAACTTTTTTTTTAGTTTATTTATGTATTAATAGAATAATAGCTACGGGTGTAAATAAGTTAGGCTAGGCTAGATTTTGCTTTAAATAGACCAGGCCTGTGTAAAAATATTGGATCCGGTCTGTTAGTCTGTGTAGGCCCCAAATTACAGGTCTGACCTGACCTGTATTTAAAAAATAAAAGCATTGGCCTAGGCCTGTTAGCCTGTTTAAGCCTATTAAACATTCAATAATTATAAGAATAACTAAAATAATATTAGTTTATTATTCGAAATTATTAAAATAATAATTGTATTTATTTTATTTATAATAAATAATATGATATAAGACTATAAGTCGACCTGTAAACTTATAGGCTCGATATGTACAAAAAAGCCTATGACATGTTTTCTAAATAGGTTTTTTTAAAAGTCTAGGCCTATTCTATTTTACTATTTGTAATAGGCCAAGTCTGGCCTAATATAGGCTAGGTCGTAGGTCTCTGTAGGCCGACCTAGCCCATTTACACCCCTAATAATAGCTATATTCTTGTTTTCTTTTAAGGGTGTGCATGACAACTTTCTCGGAATTATTTTTTATTTATTTATGTTCCTGGTAACAAAAATGGATAGAAAACTCATTTGGTAAAACTAATTTATTTATTTTTTCCTAATATGAACCGGTTTAATTTTTGTGTTGCAAAATAGAGAAAATAATCAAAAAAAATCTGTTTTTTTATTCCCTGACACAAAATAAGAAACACTCTTCTCAATCACTCTCCATCACTATCATCATCATCATCACCACCATCATCCTGACACGACCACTGCCACCATCGTCGTCGCTATCGTCGTACCATCAGTGTCTTCATCACCACCACCTCCATGATGTCACCGCCACCATCACCATCACCTCCACTCATTGCGACTGTCACCACCACCACCATCATCGTCATCACCACCGTCATCAACCACCACAACCACTACCTCCATCGTCACCACCCACTGACGTCACCACCACAACTTCAGCACCATAACCACTCCTATCGCTGCAATCACTATTATCACCACTGCCGCTATTATCATCACCTTGCCATTGCCGCCGCCGCCACCACAAAGGAAAGTGATGATTCGAAAAAAAATAATGCTTAATAGAAATTATTTTTTATTATATTATTTGTTGTGTTATTAAAAACAATTCTCATTTTCGGAATAAAAATAGAACATGTTATTAAACACATTTTTTTCTTCAAAACTGTTTCAAGGCACAGAAATAAAAAATTATTTCTTTTGAAAAAGTGTGAGGAAACATAATAGTTGACCTATTAAAGCTGAACACCTATAAACTAATTTAACGCAAAATTAGATTGTGTTTCAGACATGTTTAAAGATAATACATATAGAGCAGTACATCATAAATAATTGAGTCTTGAAATAATTTTTTTATGTTATTAAATGTTTGATTATTATTTCCAAAGAAAAAGTTGTTTGATTACTAATATATAAAATTAAAAAAATTGCAATATTCATAAATATAAATAACACAGAATTTATTATAATATTTTTTATATTATACATTAATTTACAGGCAATAAAACTAAACTAATAAAAGATAAGAATTATTAAAAAAAAAATTGCTGTGTCACCCAAAAGGTGTGCATGACAATCATTCTATTCCCTAGCACTGTTTCTGAAAAGAAACAATTCTTTTCTATTTCTGTTCCTTGAAACAGTTTCTGAGAAAAAAATGTGTTTGATAACATATTCTATTTTTATTCCAAGAATGAGAATTGTGTTTGATAACACAACAAATAATATAATAAAAAATAATTCCTATTAAATATAAAAAAATTGGATCATCACTTTCCTTTTCATATGGTTTGGTTGTGGTGGTGGTGGCGGGGGGTGGCATGATGGTGGTGGCGGCGGCGGCGGCACGGCGGTGGTTGTGGCAGTGACGTGGTGATGATAGTGGTGCTGGTTGTGATGACAGTGGCTACGACGATGGCGGTGGTAGTGGTGACAGCAATGGCTGCGACAATGGTGGGGGATGGTGGTTGGTGGCATTGGTGGCGGCGACAATGGTAGCGGTGGCATGGTAGTGGTGGTTGTGATGGCATCATGGAGATGGTGGTGGTGGTGGCAGTGGCTGCAGGTGGTGGTAGGTGACAGTGGTGGTGGCGGTGGTGGTGTAATGGTGACGATGATGGTGGTGGTGACAGTAGTGGCTGTGACGATGGTGGTGGCGGTGGTGGCTGCAGTAATGATAGTGGTGGTGATGGTAATGGTGGCGGTAGTGGTGGTGGAGGTGACAGCAGTGGATGCAACAATGGTGGGTGTGACATTGGTGGCGGCGACAATGGTAGCAGTGGCATGGTAGTGGTGGTGGAGGTGACAGCAGTGGCTGCGATAATGGTGGTTGTGACATTGGTGGCCGCGACAATGGTAGCGGTGGCATGGTGGTTGTGGTTGTGATGGCATCATGGAGATGGTAGTGGTGGTGGCATTGGCTGCGGTGGTGGCATTGGCTGCGGCGGTGGCGGTGGGTGATAGTGGTGATGGTGGCGGCGACAGTGGTGGTAGTGGCGGGGGTGATGTAATGGTGGCGATGGTGGTGGTAGTGACGATGGTGGTGGTGGTTGGTGGCGGCAGCGGTGACAGTGCCGATGGTGGCTGCAACAATGATAGTGGTGGTTGGTGACAATGATGGTAGCGGTGGTGGTAGTGGTGGCGATGGTAGTGGTGGCAGTGACAGTGGCGTGGTGATGCCGATGGTGACGGTGGTGGCAGTGGTTGCGATGATGGTGGTGGTGGTTGATGGCGGTAGTGGTGATGGTGGTGGTGACGGTGACAGTTGGTGGTGGTTGTAGCGGTGGTAGTTGTGGTGGTGGTGGCAGTGGCATCGTGGTGGTGGGGGTGGTCACGACAGCACTAGTGGTACGACGATGGCGGCGACGATGGTGGCAGTGGTCGTGTTGGGATGATAGTGGTGGTGGTGATGATGGTAGAGAAGGAAAGTGATTAAGAGAGATAAGTGTTTTTCATTTTGTGCCCGAGAACAAAAAAGCAGAAATTTTCTGATTCTTTTTTCTGTTCCCCAGCACAAAAATTAATCCGGTTCATCCGTGAACAAAAAAATAAACCAGTTTTACCAAACGAATTTTCTATCCATTTCTATTCCGGAGAACAGAAATTAAAAAAGAATTAATTTCAGGAAGGTTGTCATGCGCACCCAAAGTCATTGTAGCTAATGGCACATTGGGCGGTTGATATTAAGCGCAAACAATTAGGAACTAGACTTTGATACGTTTCATCTGTTACGACTTACTACGAATGAAAACGACAAGTAGCTTTAAAGGACGTACGTTCGTTTTATTGTACTGCTGTCTCAGCTAAGGTGAGATGCACTGCATCCACTATTCAATTTTTTTTATTTTATTTTTTGTAATACACTATTCAAATTTTGGCTTCTAATAACTGGGGAGTGGGACTGGCGAACAATGCCATTACAATGTATTTTCAAAACTTGTTTTCATATGTTTTTAATTGGTTTATTTCGGTAATTAAAAATCACGTGTTAAATAATAAAAATATTGTAACATTTAGTTAT